AAGGCGAGTTATTTTGATTTATTGTTTTATATTAGTTTTTTTTTTTAAATGAAATGCCTATTTCCACCATGGTAGATCTGTGGCCTGAATTAGAGCTAGGGTAATAGGATTTGTAGCGTTAACTATTTTGGGGTAGATAGAGTTGTGTCGCACGATATAATTACATATGGAAAAATAGTTTGGTGAAAATAGCTAAACTTTATTTTTTGTATTATTTTTTGTATTATTTTTTGTATTATTTTTTGTTATGTACTTGAATTATTAATTAATGTTACTGATTTGTTATTTATAACCTTGATACATGATTTAACGTTTTTATTGAATTATTAGAGAGTATGTACTTCGTTTTTCATTCACTATAATTATCATTTGATGATGCTCAAATTATTATTTGTAGCCTTAATGCACATTTTAACTTGTATTTTTTATAGATTTACTAGATGGTAAGCATAAGATTATAATTGTTTCCAAATTATTATTGAATTACTAGCATGTAAGTATAAGCTTTATTATATTTATTTTTAAATTTATATTTTGATGATTTTTTAAAATATGCATCTGACATATGATTTAATAAATACTGAATCATTAGCCGTAAGTAGTGATGGGCAAGCGCGGGATTCATCACGTGATGCACGGGATAATTCGGGCAATGCCATAATTCCAGCCGAAACTTACGGTAATCTTGGTAACAATCTGTGGATCCCGCGCGCATCCCGTGCATGACGCGCGGGATTTTTTGGCAAAACCGTGGTTTGCCCATCTCTAGCCGTAAGTATAAACTTTATCTGTTTTTAAAATTTTTATTCTAAATTATCATATTATAATATAATATACATTTTTCTTATATTAAATTATTAGCGAGTAATTATGAGTTTTAGTATATTTTGTTCTAATTTTTCATTTTATAATTGTATCATTAAATTATTAGCACGCAAGTATAGCTTTATTATATTTGTTTATAAAATTATTATTGATAATTTTAAAACATGCATTTTAACAAACATCTTTATCAACTTATTAGACCGTAAGTATAAGCTTTATTATATTTGTTTTTAAAATTATTATTGATGCTTTTAAAATATGTATCCGACAAATTTTTTAACAAATGCCTCTGTCAAATTATTAGCACGTAAATACTAGCTTTATTATATTTATTTTAAAATTTTTACTTGATTTGGAATTATGCTATATACAAATTGATAACGAGTATTTTCTTTATTGAATTATTAGAAAGTAAATATAAGTTTATAATATTATCTTTTGAAATTTTTATTTTAATATAAATATATAATGCACGTTTTCTTTTATCAATTATTAGGAAGTATGTATTAGATTTATTATATTTATTTCTAAACTTTTCATTTGACAATTATGGTTTTAAATGATAAATATTTTTTTATTGAATATTAGAAGGCAAATATAACTTTATTATATAATTTTTTAAAATTTTTTTTGATAATTTTTAAATTATACTAATATAATCTATAACGTACGCCTTCTATTGCACAATGAATTGTTAGATGGTATGCATAAGCTTTATTATATTTCGGTTATGAAAATTTAGTATAGGCAGTTTCTATTTGAACACTAGTGTAAAAAACACGGGTATAATGATATCTAAAATCCTAATAATATAACGGCTTTGGATGTCTAACAAAAAATATTCATCGTAAAATTTTAGTATAAATTATAATCTCTTTAACCTAAAGCTAACCTTACTCTAACTTTAAATCGGACTTAATTTTGCTTTATAAGTTTTCTTACAAGGATTTGCTAAATTAATTAATTAATACCTGTGTATATAACACCCCGTGTACAATTAGAAATTTTCTTTATTATATTTTAAATTAAGCAATTATAACCCATTTCTTTTACTGAATTATTAGCAGGTAAGCATAAACTTTAATAAATGTTTCTAAATGTTACTTGGTGATTTGAAATGAACTTTATAATATACATCATCTTTTATTGAAATACTAGATCGTAAGTATAAGCTTTATATTATATTTATTTTAAATCATTATTGATAATTTTTAAAATATTTACCTCAAATATTTTAACAAACGTTTCTATTAAATTATTAGAAAGTATGTATATGATTTATAATTTTTTTTATTCGATGGTTTTAAATGTTATTTAGATTTTAGAATACATATTTTCTTTTATTGAATTATTAGTTGGTAAGCATAAGCGTTATTATAGTTGTTTTTAAAGTTTTTGTTTATACATTTAATAAATGCTAATTATAACCTTATAATATATATTTTCCTTTTGTTAAATCATCAGGGAGTAAGTATATACTTTTAGGATTTCTATTTTTAAATAGCACTATTAATAATTTTATGATATAATTTTTTTGCTCATAAATTGCTAGATGGTATATATAAACTTAATTATAATTCTTTATGAACTTACTATTTAATAATTTTAAACTATTATATTTACTTTTATATCTAATAATATATTTTAACAAATTCCTTTAAAAATCAATTAGCTGGTAAATACTTTATAAGAATTGTAGGTTTTTAATCATTATTTTAAATGTATCTAATAAATATTTTATTGAATGCTTTTGTAAACTTATCAGCTCGTAAATATAAGCTTAATTATTTTTTGATTATTTTCAAAATATGCACTTTACATAATAATAACAAACGCCTTACGCCTTTGTCACATTATTAGCAAGTAAGTATAACCTTTATTATATTTACTTATAAAAGTTTTGTTGAGCTATAAATTATATCATTCATAAATTTATAATTTATTTTTTAAATTATTAGCAAGTAAGCATAATCTTTATTATTGTTATTATTAAAATTTTCCTTTACTTTTTTATAATATATATTTTATGTCAAATTATTAGATGGTAAGCATAATTTTTTTTATTAAAAAATTTATTTATCACTCAGATAATTTGTTAAAAAATGAATCTTAGTATTTTATGTCTAATAGGATTAATTAAAATTTTGCAAAAAAATTTTGCTACCCTGATTTTAAATTTATTAGCTATATTAGAGTGTAAAATCATATTCTGAGTGGTGAATAAATTTACTCTCAACATATCTAACTTAAAATTATTATTTATAAAAGAGCATTGCCATAGTGATGTATCGCTATTCCTAATTGACCAATTGGAATGTATGATCAGGTGGAACGTGAAATCGAAACATGGTCTTTTCTGAAAAGTAGTATTTCTTAAAATTACATCTAATTCTAACCCTCACTTTAAACAATGCATTATTATAATTGGTCTGATTTCTCATTACACATGATCTTATGAGTTGCGATACACCACATAGGCGAAAAATATAAAATCCTTTATAAAATATGTACTTATTAAATTTTTAACAAATATTTTTCAAATTATTATTAATTTTTAATTTCGCATTATTGATCTTAAAATATTCATTTAAAAATACTTTAACAAAATGCCTTTACTAAATTATTAGTGGGTAAGTATAATATTTATTTATTTTTAATATGATTGATGTTTTAAATATGCATCTGACAAATATTTTATCAAATATTTGTTAAATTTTCAGACTGTATGTATACCTTATTATAAAATTATTATTATCAGTTTTGGCCATCAATTTCGGACACCCTATCAATAACGACCCATTCCAAATATAAAAATCAATCAAGTATTTAAAAATAGGTGTGTTCTTGATAGGCAAGGTTGGCAATGGAGCTCAATGGAGCTGCGAATGGAGCCAATGGAGCTCTGAATGGAGCCAATAAATACTAGTTTTTTGAGCTCCATTGACTCCATTGCCACCCTGTTGATAAGGGTGTCCGTAATTGATGGTCAAAACCGATATCAATTTTAAAATATGTACATATTCGATAAATATTTTAACTAATGTTTTTGTCCAAATTGCTAGCCCGTAAGTATAAGTTTTATTTTATTTATTTTTAAAATTATTATGTATTGATCTTAAAATATGTATACAATAAATATTTTATCATATATCTTTGTCAATATGTTAGCTCGTAAGTATAGTTTTTATTATATTTATTTTAAAATATGAACGTATTCAATAAATATTTTAACTAATGTTTTGTCCAAATTTCCAGCATGTAAGTACAAATTTTATTTTTTATTTATTTGTTTAAAACTATTATGTTTTGATCTTAAAATATGTATCTAACACATATTTTTTCATATATCTTTGTCAATATGTTAGCCCGTAAGTATATGTTTTATTATATTTATTTTAAAATATGTACGAATTCAATAAATATTTTAACTAATGTTTTTGTCCAAATTGCTAGCATGTAAGTATAAGTTTTATTTTATTTATTTTTTTAAAATTATTATGTATTGATCTTAAAATATGTATTTAATACATATTTTCTCATATATCTTTGTCAATATGTTAGCTTGTATGTATATGTTTTATTATATTTATTTCAAATTAAGGAATCCATCTCTATTTGTATATACCCAGATATAAGAAAAAAAATCAAAATCATTAATATTACAAAATTTACTAGAACAATTGATGTAGGTTTCTTAAGTAAAAATGTTCAGCGCTTAATTTTACATATAAGTATATCATTAATCAAACCTCTAATTTATCCAATCCTAATATATAGTAGTTTTTCTTATACCGGGATATGCATTATTGTTATGAGTATTTTTAGAAATTTTCTTAATTAAATTATTGGTAACCTTAAAATATATGCCTATCAAATTATTAGTGAGTAAGTATAAACTTTATTATGATTTATTGGTAATCTTAAAATATACATCTAAGGTCTTAACAAATATTTCTATCAAATTATTAGAGGGTAAGTATAGATATAAGCTTTATATATTTTTTTGTTTCATGATTTTAAATGTGCGAAATTCTATTTTAACCTACCATGTGATTTTGTGGCTGATAGAATTTTTTATTTCGCTGACGGATTGCATTACAAATCTCAGAAAAATATTCAAAAATACACCAGTCACATATTACATGATGGGTTAAAATAACTCAGGTCAAAAAGAACTTCTCTACAGTTTATGTGATGGATTAGAAAACCTGGGTTAAAATAGAATTCCATTTTAAATTATATATCTTTATATCCTTGATAAGCACAAATTTGTTAATAATTTTTAAATAATAAGTTTTATCTGACAATATATATTTTTATCAGTCATGTTTGTTTAGAGGTAGTTGACTGATGATAAAACATTCCGAATTATTGTCATCTATTAGTCGATTATTAATAATTAGTAAGTTGTTAGTATTTTTATACAATATTTTTTCTTTTCTTACCTTTTTTTTGGTTATACAAGATCCAGTGATCCGATTGGGTTTTATACAACTAGGTGATATCACCTAGGGTGAAAATTAGCAAGACATCATTTTTATATTTGCAGAGTAAATTGAATTATATACTTAAAAAAAATTGGTTTATAAAATAAAATTTATTAAATCAATTTATAAATTTTAATAAATATAAATCTGCAGAATTATATAAATTTATTATAATATATGGGATTAAGGATTAAAATAAAGTATAAGTTATAGTAAATTTAGCAAGGAATTGACATCTTGATATAGTGAAGTTAAACTCAAGGCTTGATACAGTGAAATTTTATATTTTTTATTAATGAACTGATTATTTACCTATATCGAGAGTGAGTTGTACCATGAAATTCTAGACTCTGAATAAATTACCATAATCAATGTTAACAATTTCAACGACCAACCAATGTATTTGACCTTTTC